ATGTTTATATGTTTTTCATAATTTTGCTATTTCAGGAAGTGTTGATGACGACAAAATTGTTGCTTTTAAATGGACGCAGGATAAGGGACCCAGTATCCCACTAGGGGCCATGAACACACCGATTCTCACATTGGACAACATGGTTGCAGGGAGCTACGTGTTCAGGTATGTTGGTTTTACGGGTCGACGATAAGTTTACAAGATAGCTCGTTTCTCCATAATTTTCTTACCTTTCTAACCAGGAAATGGAGGCCACCTATTCGTGAACTCTGAGACCATAGTAGTAGTTTGGTGTGACAATGAGCTAGGGGTACAGAAAAGCTCTAAGGAGACCAGAGAATCATTGATTTCTCGCTTATTTTCCTCAGTAAAGCTGGTAGTTAGGATGGCTTGTTCGCGTGAAACTTCTTCTTCTTCTCCCTAGCGTTAGTCCCGCGCAGTCGCAGGGTCCGCTGTCTTTGTCAGTCGTCGCCACTTGTTCTGTCCAGGGCATCTTCTGCTGTGGCCGTGACCTCAGTGAGGTCTTCTTGATGACGTCTCTCCACCTCTTCTTCGGGCCCCTCGCGGCCGCTGGACAGGGGCAGTCTGCATGACCGCTCTGACATCCTCGTTTCTGACCCTGTCCAGCCGCGTCCAGCCGCAGGCCCATCTCAGCATCCTCATCTCGGCGGAGTGAAGCTGCCTTTCGTGATTCTTGTTCAGGGGCCAGCACTCGCTGCCGTAGAGCATCGCAGGCCTTACCACTGTCCGGTACACCTTCCCTTTGAGCGCTTCTGGAGCACCTTCGATCGCAGAGGATTCCAGTGGACTCCCTCCATTTCATCCATGCAGCGTTGACCCGAGCCTTCACTGCCTGATCCACACTACCGTCGGCTGCCAGATCACTTCCAAGGTATTCGCGTAAAACATGCTAAGGAATATGATATGATAGTGAACCTACAACCAGTAGCCGAACGATTTGACGTTGGTCAAATCCTTCGAGTGCGCCATGCATTCTACTTTGCTCAGAATAGGTATCATTTGAAGTAGTGGATCGCGTGGAGAATCGATGCACATGTTAGTATTTGTTATTCTGAAAAGGATAGAACCAATCAGTCATGCTGGAGAAACCTAAAGCTTAGTTTGCCTGGGTTGAGTTCAGCCCAATATCTGACCTCGAGACCGTGCACGCGGCAAGCCGTGCCACTTGCTACTCTACCACCTCCGCTTCCTTTATCAGTTCGTGTAAGTAAGCGATTCAGAACCTTGTCGCGTGGTATACCTAAGATTTGAAAACGACCATCCTTTCAGTGTACAAGTAACTGACAGTGGCGGTCTCACATCGTCGGCATCGACTCGAGTCGAAATTGAAGCGGAGCGTGATGATCCGCCAAAAGCCCACATCAATGAATGCGGCAGTAAAGAACATACTGGATCGCTCACTGTGCGTCTTCCGCTGCCTGAACTCAATCTGTGTGGCAACAGTTCAATTGACGATAAGGTATGTTTTTCCTTGCAACTTGCATGTATTAGATTTCTGCTTGGATTTGCTCCTTAAAACTCTCGAAGCAATTGAAATATTCTAAGGCATGTGTCTCGTTATCCATCCCTCCATTTCATGAGTTTCATTTTTTTCTATATTGCTCTTAATAGACCGATTTTTGATCAGTGATGAAAAGTGCACTGTAAAATTAGGTTATTTTCACGTTCCCTCCAGCTGTTTGTAATGCGAAGAAATGATGTTATATGTATCTGTCTAGTTTGCATAAATTGGACGGAAAATCATGATCGGAAGTACCATTCCTTGCCCTACGCGTAGAAATCTCATGTATCAAACCTTGAGGAAGCTTCCTAATCTGAGAATCTTTCATTCTATTGCATGCGATTGTTTTGTTATGAGAGTTTTTAATGTATTAATTCTATTTGACCGTTCAGGGCATAGTCTCCTACAACTGGTTCCGAGTTGATAAGTTATCTGAAAAGCTCTCCGTTGACACGGCTGGTCAGTCTGATAAAATTTCAGTTGCTCTTTATTAGAGTTTGTGAAATCTTTTTTGTTTGACCATGAGTGAAGCCTATTTTCATCACTGCAGGCTCAACCACAAGCATCCTCACATTGAAAAATATCCAAGCGAATGAGCGATTGGGTCCATACGAGTTCCAGCTGGATGTAACGGATACTAAAGGACAAAAGGACTCTACCCGAATAAGTATCTTTGTGAACAAAGCTGAAAACTTTCCTCCAGGTTGGGACGGAGATTAGACTTTCGAGTTTGACTTCTGTCAAAAAAAGAAACAAATTTTAGTCGCTGATGCGGGTGGAAATCACACAGTCATTCTTCCTGAAAATGCTATTGTGCTTGATGGAAATGCCAAGGACGACGGAAGTATTGTCAGCTATAATTGGACTCAAATCGAGTACGCACTCAGTTCACTTTCTATTTTGTTAAATTTTCACACTCCGTATTTCAGCGGCCCATCTCGTGCATCACTAGTGAATGCTGATAAAGCGAAAGCTACTGCATCCCGTCTTCAAGAAGGAGTATATCGATTCTTGTTGACAGTGGTTGATGATGGTGGGCTTAACGGTACCGCATCCGCATACATTACTGTGGAACGAAGTGAGTCCATTGCTCAATTCATATTTCTTCAATTTTAGTTTGTTTCTACTCGGCAATTCTCACTTTCAGGTAAGAATGAGCCACCTGTTGCTCGTGCGCCTAACGTCACTGTTCATCTTCCGACTTCGGTAGCAGTTTTGAATGCATCATCTTCCTCTGATGATGCCGGTATCGTAAGCTTCCATTGGCAGCCGCTTGATGATGTACCAGCATCTATGGTGAGTACAAGATCATAAAGCTCCCGGTTTATTTTCCTTGGTCCTATCTTTGCTCGATAAATTGGCCAAATTCAGATTGCTCTCGATGGGACGGAGAACACCCAGATTATGTTCATAACTGGCCTCGTAAAGGGCACGCATGTTTACAATCTGACTGTTGCCGATCAGCAGAAAGCAAGGAACTCCATACTTGTCTATCTGACAGTTATCGAAGGTGGGTGCTGGTAGAAGATAGGCTCGTAGTATTTGGTTCTAGAGGGGGATTTTTCTTTAGAATTACAAAAATACCATAAACAGGAAGGACCTTGTAAGGAATTTTGTAAGCCAAAAGCGAAGAGCTCTGTCACGGTTCGTGAAACTGTACTGTAGATCCCAAATACGGAAAATATGAACACATCATACGGTATACACACCTGCTTTATTCATCAAAACATGGGCGAGACCATTCCGAGACAAGCAAAGCAATATTAGCAATATTAATAATCTTGGCTGGAAGTATCAAACAAAGGAAACTTTTCCTGTGTTTATATTTCGTACTTATTTCTTGAAGCTGTGCTCATTTGTACTCATACAGTGCGTTTTTAAGGCGAGGAAGAGCTGGAATCTGTGGAAATCCTGTTGAAAAAGAGCATAGAAGAGTGGACATATCGCCTTCGGCGAAAACTCCGCGACAGAATTGAAGCGAGTCTAGCAGGATCAATAGAGGTTCGAAAATGTGGAAATTATTTCATTTCGGTCCTCTTTTCGTACGCATTGTATTACACTTTGCTAGAATTTGCTTAATTCGGTGGAGACAAATTAAAGTACAACTTTGCATGTGGATCTTTGATTGTGGAGATCACTACACTAAAGCACCTTCGAGCTTCTGGTTTCCAGAAACGCTCTACAACATTGTTCATGACTGCGATAATCTGTGTATGGGTCTAAGCAGAAATTCCTCATGTGTCATAAAGCTCTTGTTTGCAGCAAGATGTGGCGGCCCATTTTTCACCTCGGGAGATATTTCTCTTCAATCGAATCGAAGAGTCTGATGAATTGGAGACGGGTATTCGAGAGTTCATGCGTGCTATTTACTTCGTTTTGGAGAGCAAGCGTGTCGACCAATCATTCGAAAAACTGGTAAGGTAATTTTTTCATTTGGAAAGATTTAATCCGAATCAGTTATTTGTGTTCGGGTTTCGCCTTGTTCTTATAGCATAGAAGGCTGCGGAACCGGTAACAGTGAATTCAGTAAAGCTCAAGAGAATATTAGATAAATTAGGTATGCAGTACTTAGAAGGGCGTAACGCATAGAATGTAAAAGTATGGGAGGGAATGGCACTGCCTGTGCACCACCTAAGCAGAAATGACTTTTAAAGTTTGAATTTTCGCCACCATGCACAATGAGACCACATTTTTTAGGAATGTCCTCCGTGTCCTGCTCTACCAGAGGAAGAGAAGTTCAGAGTCGGAGTGGAAAATAAAACGTCGAAGATGTACAAGTAAGTTTGTCTTTACAAATTTTCATGGATGTAATGACTTGTGATCAGCGAACTGTTTGACTGAAATATTGCCGCTCTTCCATCATTGGACACGCTCAACGGAATTACGTGCCTCTTTCTATTGCCATCGCTTTGTCGCAACATCTTCTAAAGCGATTCTCTCAGAGGCCGGACGCTCATAAATTTTTTTGCGATCGAGTTGTCGACCTGGCTTAATCGGCTTAGCGCAATCGACATTCGGAATCGCAAAGTATGACGTCGGCCAGAATAAGAAGTCCTCAACGGAAATTATCCCTCGGTGACTCTCCTACAGAGTGAGCCATCACGGAGGATTTTTCTACTCAAGGTTGGCTGCCAAACTTCCTTGCTCGCAGCTCACCCTACACTCACATCCTGAGCCCTATGAATTGTTTTCAGAAAAGATATCTGAAGTCAAACGGATTCATAGGTGAAAGCGATTAGTTTCAGACGGAAGTGCGTGGGCCGATCTCGAAAGCAAAATGCCGACTATGCCATGTTGACAGGACTTCCGCAGTTGGCGCTAGACTCTTACGCTGCTTCTATGGAACTACTAAAATCTTCCAATGACATGCTGTGGTATGCAGGTCTGTTCATCACCAAATACGACTATTTTGCATCAACGTTGAGCAGCGCGAAAGATTCATGTTATTGCTTTTTTTTTTTTCAGTTCTGTGAAGGATGGTGCGTGTTGCTGCGATGTCACTTTTATAATGAATAGCCTGTCCTTCGATGTTCATTCTATGTATGTGTAAGCAGTTATTGACACCAGCACAAATGAGAGAGCATCAGCATCCCTTCACTGGGAGCAGCCGTAAGCGGCGCTGCTACGTTTCAACACTCGCTAGGGTCTGGCACTAGTTCGGGATTAGTTCGACTTTATCTGTGCTCATTTGATTACTCCTTTCTAGGGTATCGTTAGGACACCAGCGCCATCGTTCAGATGAAAATGCACGCGTACCTGTCACTGATGACGGTAGCGATGGAAGTGAAGGCCGTCGATCTCGCATGCCATGGGCAGTACTTCGTGGCGAAAGGTTTCTTTCGTCATAACTCGATATATATAGGCTATTTGTCAAGTGCTATATGATTGTTATATGATTCCAATTACTTTACCGTTGAGATACTTCTACAGTATCTTCAGTTGAAAATAGTTCAGATCGAAGGATAAAATTGAACCCGCTGCTATCCTTGAGAAATTCGAGCAGGCGCTGGAATACTACTCGAAGTTCTCGTTTGCTGCAGTGATCGAGTACGACTGCATGATGAAAGCAGTGTCTCTTTATCGATACCAACGGTTGTACGTCGAAATGGAAGTACGTCTAACATGTACATTCTCTTGATGTGTTCGAAATACATAGTGGATCTATTATCAGGCGTTTCAAAAAGTTCTGTCGTTTTTTGACACTCCACTTTTGGATGCTCTATTTTCCTTTAAACCCAGAAAAACTGCAATCGGTATGAATGCCGTTTTGAAGAGCTTTTCCTGCTCTATCTCATGCTTAGCTTAGCTTTGTCCTAAAACATTTTCTCATAGCTTTTTCAAAGCTCTGAATGCGGTATACTCGATGAGCAAGTTGGCATGACTTTCTTTTTCTAGCTTTGAATAGACCTGAAAGTAGCGGGAACAGTTCAAAATATTAACGATGCACTTGGCCTAGATTCGCAATAAATGTGCTCATATGCAGTAGTTCGAAAAGTTATTGTAACGAAAGCGAGAGCCTTGGGTATGATACTAGTGGTAGTCAGATATCGGACGTTGCCACCCATTAGCCAAAAGTTCTGATTGAGGCACTCGTGCGTAAGACCATAGAGGAGGTTCTGCCCAACCTGGGCGTATATGGTTTGTAGAGCCAAGCTATACGGAAGTAGCTGGAAAGTCCAAAAAATTTGATAGGGGCGTGCCGCGACAAATCACCATCACCATTCATACCGAAATAATCAAATTGTAGCTTGTTTTATACTTCTTACTGGTGCATAATGTCGCGACTCGTTTTTCTACAAAATTTGCAGAATACAATAAAGAGCGGATTCTTCTCTACAGTCCACGAAGCTTTGCTGGATAGCTCGACGGCGATAGAGCTCTACAAACTGTGCAAAACTTAAACTGTGCTGAAGGAGGGTTATGGCAACTTTCATAAGGTCGACGGCTGGCCTGGTTCTTCCGCATAACCAGGAACTGTTACAGTGGAAAAGCAGTCTTAACATTACGCCAAAATTCACCAAAAACTCCAAGACATGTGTCCAGCATTCCTCATTATAAAGGGGTGACACATCTGAAAGGTGTCCTGGACGTACATCGCACCGCCAACCCTTCACAAGTTGGACCAGCTGAACTTCAGAGTGGTTCTGCGAACATCTTACTTAGTAGACCTTTGGTCTATCTACTGTCACATTTCTGACGATCTCGATAGCTTCCTTGAAGAGAAATGCATCAAAACCCAACATGATGCCAAATCGACCTTCGCCTTTCAGCATTTTGAACAAACCTCCAGTAAAACGGTTCCTTTCATAAAGGTTCGCGCATTCGAATGGTTTTTAATCAGCTTGAAAGGTTTAGTTTATGCCGAGATACATGCATTTAAAATTCGGGGTCGGAAAACGACAGAACTTTCTAAAACGCCTAATATATCACGTACTTGCTAGGCATTTTGGGAGAGTAGACGAATCTGCGAAAAGGATCAGTTGCATATGGATTGTCACGTCGATAGAAACAGGTCCTGGGTGGTATGCCGGGCGTAGGTAGAATATAGCGATTAGCTGAATTATTTCTCGCAGCCTCTGCTGATTCTGCTGACCGCTATGCATTTTTATTTTTCGTGCATTCCCTGTCTTCCCGAAAACTATTAGTGTGCGTAGTCTCGTTCGTTTTGTTGCAGTTTGTTATATTCAAAAATATTAGGCTAGTCTGCCATCTCTTGTGCTTCTTATTTCAGACTTGCCATCGATCACATTAGCGGTAAATACTAGGGACGACAGTTTTACAAGGTTCGATAACCATACGAAGGCGGCTATATGCAGCAATTCGGCGGCGCTGTATAGAGAGGTAGGATCAAGTTTAAACTAACCAGAATGTCGCTCTGAAAGCTTCCATTTAGATAGGATTTCGACGAAAGTGTTCTTTTTTTGCTCGGGGACGCGGCCCCAAATTGCTGATGGTGAACACAGGACCCCTCAAGACTACAGAGCTGTGTATCCAATCCTTTACAGGTTTGATTTCAATTTTAGGTATTTTCGTTTTTTTGCGAGGGGTAACAGTTGAAGTTTTTTATGAGCTTGTTTGATTAAGCAGCTCCGGTGAAGCTCAAGCGAAATCTTCAGTGCAAAAACCTTTCCGGAATTTCCTCGCTTTTCATGGTATTCTTCAAAATGCAGGCTTGGGCAAGGTTTATTAATGGATTACTCAATCATGCAATGGAGATAATGGGCTGCTTGCGTTTATTTTCTTCTGCATATCATTTTTTTTTTCTTCCTATTGTCCACTTTTGCAGACAGTGGTGACGATGGGTGTTGAAGTCTTGTTCTGTGACACTTCTGAAAAACCCTGTTATTGACCTTTTAGAACTCTGGAGGGGCTACTCCTTTACAGCTGGCCAAGAGCCTATTATAAAAAAGACTCAGTGACGTTGGAATCATCAGCTGATGAGAATTTCAAAAAAACTAGTGACAAAAATCTCTTACCTTATTGTTTCAGGACACTTCCTGGTTATGGAATAAAAGAAAATGTGCCTACGTGAAAGGTAGCAGGACGGGTATCAAAGGTCATTCAACTGCAAATAAAAGCTTCTTCATGAGAGCTGTTCTTGCTGTGTGGCTGGCTGTACACGGCTGCATCACGCGGCAGAGTTTGACAGACGCCAGCTAATACGGCAAGATCTCTGCACCTGATTTAAGCCTCCTAGTGCGCGGCGATCATTTGAGAGAGGATTACTAAATTTCTGAATCTCTTACAAGGGAGGTCTTTCAGGACATGGAGCGCTTTTTCGAAACGGTTTCTTGCATGTTGTGGGGCTCATACGAGGAACACAGAACCATAATCCATTTTTCCTGAACGCCTCCAGGAATGTCAAAACATTGGTGAAGAAATGGTCCCGAGTTCGATCCCCGATGACTAATTTTTGCAATATAGTTTCGGCGGCCCCCAGATTGCGGCCAAATGGCTCCATCGTTGAGTAGTAGCATGTAATGTGTTCGTTTGGTGCATTTTTGGAGGCCCCAAGATAAATTGCGAAAATTTTTGTCATGACGGGGGATCGAACTTTGGACCATTTCTTCTCCCCTGTTTTGAGACTCCTAGGGGCGTTCAGGAAAAATGGACCATGGTTCTGTATTCCTCACATGAGAATCTACAAAAACTAGGGAACCATTTTGAAGAAACGCTCCATGTCCTGAAAGACCCTCCTTGTTAGTGTGTGATAGTATTGAAATATATGCATGCTTAGGTTTACTATGATGATATGGAACCCACGTTGGCAAATCGCTTGTTCGATGACCTGCAGAACCTTTCGTTAACCGCCATCAAAAAGAGTCCCACCGCAAACTGAATCAACGCCATTATCGGCCTGCTCTGTTGCGGAATATAATTCTTCCTTCCATCCAGCTGACGAGATTCCCAATGGTCAAGTTGGTCCAAACTTTCTCAGCGCATTTTGTCAGTCTGCAGATAGATGAAGGCGAGAAATGTAGTTTTAGGTGATCCTATACTTTGTCCACTTCCACCTCATTTGGCTCCTACAGTTATCCCAGCCAAAGCTGGACAACCGCAGCTGTTCATCTACTCGCCATTTCAGCAGAAGAAGGCATCGAATGGTTAGTGCGCATCTTATTGTTGTATTTTCTGAATTTTTATCTAAATGGTCTCGGTTTTGACTCACTTTGCTGCTTACTATTGAGAAGAAATGACCTCATTCGAGGTAGAGGTGGAATTTCTACTGTCCAGGTAAAAATTTGGGATATCCATAACCAACAAATGGGGCCATACGTAAAGTTCTCAGTGTGGAAAAGAGCCGCGCCGTGTTTCGGAAAATACCTGAGTACGGAGTGGGATCTCCGTAGATGAGAGCTATGCGAGTTGGTTTACTACAACCACCTTCCACTACCTTGCAAGTCTTGTATCAGGTATTCGAACCCGGTCAAGTATAGGCCTTCCTTTGGCATCCACGAGACGTGATCCGGTTTTGACCACCTAACCGTCACGGGGAGGCACATTTGCCACTGCATCACTTTCGCCCTGAAGTGATGAACATATCATATCATTTTGAAACTCTACATGTACTCGTTTTACTCGATTGTATAGGAGAAAACGAAGCCTTTTGAGTCAACGCCTCTTCCTTACTATTTTACTTAGCCCGTATGTTGACCTTTTCCCATTATCCTGTTACCCTTAGAGTTGTCTCCCTATGCGCCACAATATCTTGCTATCAAATCAGTGAAATATAAGTTTTCAGAGATATATTGGGTTGTGGATTGCGCTGGTGAAGTTTCAATACTGGTCTACAACTGTCGTCCTTATGAGCTAGTAGTGAGGTGAGAATCGCAGTTGATTTGTTCATTCTCTTAACGATTGGTTTTGAAAACTAGAAAAGGCTGCTTTCACTTTCAAATCAGTCAAATTCAGGGAGTTGTGCTTGCTCGCGGATGGTTGTGTTTTTGAATCGGTTCCTGTGCGCCTTATCCTTCCAGCAGCGAACGAAGGCGCTCCTGCGAGGATCAAGCTAATTGGTGTTCCAAGGTGATTCCAAATTTTCTACATTTTTCTCCCAATGATTCAGTCAATAATTGTTCAGGACTCCGGGTTTGTTGACGATTACGGGTTATTGCTGTGAAGTATTCGGTGTGAAAAATGTTTGCAAACTTTTTGGACAAAGGCCTTTGAAGGTAGTCAAGAGATCATTTTTTTCTCAGCTTCTGGTGGAAAATGTTTTACCATGTTTTAGGTAGAAGTTCTTCCGTCCTTAGCTGTCCTTCAACTCGAGTCCTCCTTACCTCGTGCTCCCATAGAAGAAGATCTGAATGACAGAAGCACGGAAATTACTGTATACTCTGGACAGCTGTAATGATTTCGAATCAATATATTCCAACCAGAAACTGTCTAGAATTTTTCTGCTGGTTTTCAGCGTTCTGAACACGTCGCTCTACTGTGAGAAACACCAGCGCCACAATTGCTATTCGTAAGGTTCTACTTCAAGTGTGGCAGCCAAAGGTGAAATTTGGTCTCATTCAGCAAATTAAATTCTCTTAAAAGATAAGCCTCCCATGTAGTTTCGCCCGATTACCCGATGTGATGACTTCATTCAAGGTTTCGGGAGGTCCTTCAATGATCGAGTTGTCGAGTCAAACTGATGACGAGTCGTTCTCATTGGCGCCCCTAGAGGAAAAGGAAATCAAATTTCGAATATTTGGAATCGATCCTACCGCTACAGCCGATGACGAAGGCTCTGAAGAGAGGGTGTGTTCTACCTAAATCTAGTGCAAAGTCTATATTTCCAATTTTATCTGCTCGACATTTAGGGGGAAACGAAACTATGAAGGTATTTTGAAAACAACATTTTCTGAAAATGACAAGCGGTGAAATGTGTTCAAAAAAAGACACAATTACTAACTTTCTTACGAATCAACTACATCTCAGATAGTTCATGCAGTTAGTGTAATCTAATTGAGTAGTTGAATTCCGCGGTGGAGACAACTTTCAGAATTCCTGTTCGAAGTCCGTCACTGTTAACTGTGGAATCTATGTATTATCTAATTGTTGTTAGGGGTTTCAATCGTACACTAGTTCTTCATTAATTAGTACCAGGAAATGCCTTCAAGTCATATGTCATTCCAGAGCCATTGTCTCGAGTTTTTTTAGTGTTGATTGCACGTAATTCTGAGCGGGAACCTTCAGTGCCGAGCCCAGCACAAGGAAATGAAAAATCCTTCCTGAATTCAGTACAAACAGTCATATAGTGTTGTCTAATCTATCGAATGAATTATGTTCACTTACAGATAGTTGAAACTGTGCTTCCGCTAGCGTCCACCATGGTTGAATTGCCTCCTGACAGTGAAGCGCATGATTTAATACCCTATACCGGTCGCCTGCCTCACCTGTCAGTTTCTATTCCAATATATCGCTGACGTAGTCGGTCCAAATGAAGAGGTAAGCTGTTCAAAATTTGAATCACTTTCGAACTCATAGTTTCCATGTTCGGCTAAGCGCTCGTAAGCTCACGAAATTGTAAGCCTTGCCATTTATCATTCTGCCATTCGGATTGCTTCAATTATTAAGTTGCTATCCTGTCCGAAGGCGTTAGTTTGATGCAAGAAGGGAGACACGCTAACCTGAACATGTGATCACTCTTATCCAAATGATGACGTTTCCTTGCTAGGAGATAATTGAGAATTTTAGTTTTTTTTGCTACTTGTAGGCAGAGAAAGGTGGTGGTTTATGATGTCCGTTATCCTCATTATGATGGGGTTTGAATAGAAACTTCAGTTTTATATTCGGAGATGGTCACCAGAAAATTAGTTTCCTGGGCTGGGGATATAAAAACACGAGTATTCCCGTCGGATCCACTCCCAAAAATCTTAACTTCCTTCAATCACTTATTCTTAACAGTAATACTTGCTTGCCAGCTTGGCACTTTAGTTCGTACGAGAGAACTGCTTCTGTCTCTCAATTGTCTGTTTTGTTTGTGCTGCAAGTTGACAGTCTCAGTGGCATGTTCTACCCCGGTGATGGTCCGTTCACTAGATATATTGTCGTCGACGTGACTAATAGTACAGAACACGATGCTGAACTAGTCTACAGTTCGAATCGTAGAATGATGTGTCTACCTAAAGGAGAACATTGAGGTGCTAGCCGATTCGTCTGTTGCCATCAGTTTTTTTCTACTGGGCGTGAAGGTCGCGTGTGGTTGGCCGGTGCATCATGCTACACGCGTCTGGGAAGGTAAATTTTTTAGCGAAGATTTCACTCATTCCAACCACTTGTTCTCTCCCTTTGAATGAGCTCCTCCTCCTTGTAAATACGCAAATTTGGTTTTGAACTTCTTTCGTTGGTTTGTCTCACTCCACAGATCCGCACCTGTCCTGGTCCAACATTTCTTACAATCAAAAGGTAGTTGCCTTGGAAGTATTCCTTGGCTTGTACATCTGTTACCTTCTGTTGAGCTGCGTAGCCATGCGTATTTGAACGCCTCTATTAGTCTAAAAGAAACTTGACAATGTGAACGATCTCGAAAGATTTGATCCAAGCTGATCATTCAGTGTACAGTGCAATCAATTCTCAATTCTTGGGTAGCTTTTCAGAGTACCTCCGTTGTTATCGCCTTGGTTTGCTCGGATGTCGCTGCGGTCGCGCGTTCACGGCAGCAACTTCAAAAATAAGCATAGATGCAGAAGTTGGGAGGTTCTGCGGCCTATGTCATCTCTCTGCGTTCTGCTAATTTTGTTCTTGCTTGCTTTGACGACACGCTATTTAGGGTTGAAAAACTGCGAGCTACGCTAGAACTGCACGTTGCTAAGCATTTGGATATTCGATGGGCTATTCCAGCAATGAACGTATGTTTCATTTTCAACGTTGTAACGAAAGACAGTTAATCGGAGTTACAGTTGGAAGGACTAGTACCTGTTGGAGCACTTTTGTCATCGGTATCCTTGCTGAAGCAACTGGTTTTGCCGGCTATATCGTTAGGTATGATATTTCACTAAGGCAGCACTCTTCGCCCAAGAGTCGATACGCTCGTTCAGATATCTCCGTCAATGGTGTTCCTTATTTGAGTGAAGATGACATTTCTGTGGGAATCGGTGAATAATTGTGCTCATTCAAGTGGCCTAGTGATTCATCTCTCGAGTGCTAATTTTCCTTGTTTTGTAGCTTTTGTAATACAAACTATAAACGTTTGATCTTTGGAATTCCTTTCAGGATGATTTCGATTGCCATTTATACATTTGGAATTGCTAATCAGGAGATATCGAGTTCTTGGCAACGTGTGACAAAGGAAAACTGCCGTGATAGCATGCAATCGAAAATCTCCATTTCGTTGCGTTGTCCAAAAGGTACGTTTCTTTGGCCAATGTTAGCATTAAGGACGAATTCACGGTTAGAATGCGAGCATCGGGAGAAGAGTATTTCACTGTGATGGACCGACCAATCGCGCGGACGACGCACAAGCGTCCCGAAAGAGTTTTGCGACCTCGGCGACCTATTACGGTGCTCAACTTTTAGCGTATTGGTGGTCGGGTTGGTTTGGTTGCGTGTTAGTGGGTGGGTGGTCTTCGCGGGGGGCCAGTGCACGCCCACCGATCATCTGATCACTCGCCGCAGGTCTATACGTGGCGAGTGATTAGATAGGTGAGAGAGCGTAGTGTTGAAGAGGGCACGATGATAGTCGCATCAATGCTCAATCTTAAGGTAGTAAACCTTGATATGGATTCACGGGCTTACCCTTGCTATTAGCTTCCTTGTTGTGTCATTGTCCGCGATTTACAGATTTTCATGAATCTTGGCGAATGCTGCCCCCTCGCTTCAACTAGGATTGTAATCGCACCAGAATCTATGATGAAATCTCCCTTTGCCTTCCCCATGTCCTAATTAGGGCTGGTCTGTGGTTTTATTAGTTGTGTTGCGACAAAAACATCGCTTGTACCTTCTTTGTTGCGTTTTTATCGCTCAATTTGAATCATTTGGCCGTCGATTTGATGTTTCGCGCCACCCGCTGATAGAATACCAGTGAAAAGGGTACGCAAACTTCAGCCTCAAGAGGGCCTGCAATAGTAGTGGTAATTCCGGATTGCTCAATTACAGAAGGCTCCTTCATAGGGTATCCTTTCATGTCTTCCAGTTCAAATGGCAGTTTGTTCAGATACCGCATGTGTCGATTTCCTCACCACGATGCGAGCTGTCATTCCACGTGATGTTCCGAGTTGAAGGAGTGCATAAAATTCGCCCGCAAATCGTAAGCAGACGAGCCAATGAATCCCTGTTCTCGGACGAGATATTCGTTTCACCTGTCGGTTTTAGTGTGTCTACTAAGGCGCATCAATAACAATGCATTTAATGGAGCATAATTATATGTCCTTCAGATTAATAAATATTTATATGATTTTGTTTTGTTGAAAGAACTTAATGTGGTTTTTTTCAGTTAAATGGAGCGATGTTTTGACATTCATTTTCATGCTCAGTTGGGTCTTTTTTGCTCTAACTTTAGTTCTCCTCGCGCAGTCGTCGAGCCTCTGTCTTAGTTCGCGCGCCACTTATTTTATTCCAGCCGGCATCTGTGCTGTGGCCGCTGACTTCAGTTAGATCCCTTCGTGATGACGTCTCTCATTTCAATGCCTCAGTATCAATTGCTTTTATTTATTACGGGTCCAAAAATAGCCAAATCAAAAGTGTTTGACTCTGATAGCCATACATGGCGAACAACTGTTGGTGATCCAATCGCATGGCATGAAGCATGAAGTTAAAAGACCTCGATGTCGATTGGACTAGTTCGGGGATGCGCCGTGCACATTAATTTCATTCATAAATCGTGGCATTTCAAGTGCGATTCAATGTGCGCAATGACTTCGCGTGTTATAAGCCGATGTACAGTTATACGATCATCAACTAAATGGCGTAAGATACGAAAAATCGGACTGAGGAGGTTTTATTCGAGGCCTTCTCCACATATACTATGTGCGTGTTATGCGGCGCCACTTGCCTCCACACCATCTCCGTTCCCGCTCTCCCAATGAAAAAGAATCGTGCACATAAATGAAAAATGGGCGTGTTGGCATAAGCTAGCTATTATTTATCGTTATGGCTCCTTCTCAAAAGCTTTTTTTCAGTTTTTCTTTTGAATTTTTCCGAAGAAGTTTTCAGTTAGTGAGAGGGAGAACTCGATTCCACGAGTATCTGCCACATTCATCCATACTTTATGGCTATGGCTATAGCTAGTTCAGTCATCCTAGTACATAGTCGGGCGCAGTATGCGACACATAGGCGCTCAGCCCCCCCCCCCCCTCGCCCCTCCCTAGGAAAAGGGTAGCTATGTGGAAATATAGGTGAAAAAGACGGGGAAAATGAGGGATTAATAAAGGTTGAAATTTGCGTTTCATGGTAGTTTATCATACCCTGCTCGACGGCCATTTCTTTGTTTGAGGGGAAATGTGTCGTTGTGAAGGAGTGTTTATATCCGTTTTGTCTTGATGGGGTTGTTTTTTGGTTTTCGATTGTTCTTTTTTCGTTTCCTCGTTTTTGTCAATTATTTGTGTTTCTGAAATCTCTTGTCGTGAAGGCTAGGGGGAGTCATTGAAAATTTGCCTAAAAAGTACCAACGATAGGACCGACCCTGGTTCACGCTACCGTCAGCGGCTAGCTCGTTTCCATGTTATCGAAGGTCTTCTACTTTTTGATTTCTTCTTCACATTGGCTGAATGTTTGACTTCGGAGCTAAGGAAGTATTCTCACTTTCAACCCGAACCCGCTTTCCGCTAACACTTTCTGTCATTTCTGCGCACTGATCTGAATTTCTCATTTGCTGTACGCTAACACTGCCAATGTCGTCAGTAAAAAAGAATATTCTTTAGTGGCTCTTTAGAGGACGAATTAACGCTGAAAAAGCAACCCATTTCAAATTAAGTTCGAGGTGGTCAGTAATGCACCAAAGAAGAAAAAAAATGAGGAAAGTGGCCCAGAACCCAAGGAATGGGACCCCTTCTTTGCCCGTTGATTTGATGCGACTCTCATCTTTGTGCTCTCTCCAACACTACGCTCTCTCGCTGCTATCTAATCACTCGCCATGTATAGACCGCTGCGCCGAGTGATTAGATGGTCGGTGGGCATACACCGGCTAACCGCGCCAAGATGAGCTATGCTGGACCGCCGAGGTCAAGCTTCGCTCGCCAACTGCGCGTTGGTCAGCACCTCAGGAGGTCCGCCTGTGTCCCAACTAAGCCGTTTACCACTCCTTCGACCTTCGTTCTTATCGTGAATTCGTTCTTTAGGTAAAAAACTAGCTGCAGTAATATTCGATGACTGTTAAACACTCGGCGCGCTTTTAGGCCAATTAGCAGGAATCACTTTTCACTTTTTTGAGCGAGCGATATAGGAATGATTTTGCATTCAGTGAAATTGGGCCATTTGGGCCGGAAGATGTGTCCAAATCCGACATTCAGGGAATTTACTGAAAATTCGTAATTTTTGATGTTTCTTGATTGCTGTCACCTTCCCATACCTTCAACGATTTTGAAAGGATTGGAAAAATAGAGAAATAGAAAAGGAACGCACACCAAGCTTTTGGGTTTTTTGACATAAATTGTCCAAAGAAGATACTTGATGCATTTTATGGCATCCTCTTTCGCTTGTTTTCACGCCACTTCTTAGTTCTCTATCTGCAGCGTAGACCTACCTGTTAATTGTGTTCGATTTTACTGTATCCTCAAGCAGGCTGCGAAAAGTATTACCAACAATGTTTATGATTATGATTATGATTATGATTTATATATTGGTGCAACTGCAAACATAAGCATTGCATGAAACTTATCGAATTTACCAATAAAAGCAAGGAACACAACAACACTTAAGGAATAAGAAAGATCAGTCGGAGTGTAGCAGGGGAAGGTGGAAGCACATGGTGGTGAAGAGCAGTGGGCCGCCAACACTGCAAGCCGCGAACAGCAGAGCGTCTCCGGATACCAACTTAGTAGGTCCGTCAACACCACCATGGTCCACGCTATGAAACTGGGGCCTAGATGAAAAGCTATGAAAAGAATAAGTAAACAATCTGAAAGGACAAAGCATGTGTTAGCAAAAGAACTCAAACATTGGTAAGAACAGTGAAAGGACTGAATTCTCAAGGACGGTCGCTTACAACTGACACAACATTAATGCGGCCGTACTTGAGTTCGCTAACTGCACAGCTTATTGATTCCCTTAAAACCAGCCCTGACTTTTCAAGATTTTTTTGACCTTTTCTTTGAAAGATTTCGACGACATTGAATTCACTACCTCGGCTGGCAAGGTGTTCCAAAACGATATGACCCTTTGCGAGAAGCTGTTTCTATACGCGCTTGTGTGAGTCTTTTCCGTCAGCATTCTAAAGCGGTGCCCTCGCGTAACGCCTATGGTTCCAGCATAATCCTAAAAAGCGTATCGAGCTCAAGATCGATCTCCCTCCAAGTAAGCTTGTATACATAAGATCGTAGTCCAAAACCTTTCTTCTCATCTCAAGTGTCGTTGTGGACAAATAATTGAGGCGATCTTCATATGGTACATGAAAAAAGCCTGCCCGTGCGAATATTTTTTCAGTGAATTTCATTTGAACCTGCTCAATTTGGCCCACAAGGTATCGAGTTGATGGGGACCAGATAGGCGCACAGTACTCTAGCAGAGGCCTAACGTAAGTAGTGAATAGAGTGAAAAGTATCTTTATATGTCTAGTTGAGAAAGCTCGAATGATGAAATTAGATCGCGACTTGGCCATATTTATCATATTCAAGATGTATTCCTCGAAAGACAAGTTTTTGTCGTATTTAATTCCTATATTTGCCTTAGTGTCCAGCTAATGCATCAGGTAAACTGTTGCTTCTATCCACCTGAAGAAGTATGTATATCATGGTATTTATTCACAGAATCAAATTTCCAATATATCACATTAAGACCCGGATGTTACATGCACGTAGACGTGTGAAAAATATATATCTAAAGCGATGGGCACTCTAAATTGATGTTAGCGACTATACACAGCAGCAATTATTGGTTATCAAAAAAAGTGAATGACAGTTGTGCCCGATATCGATAAAATATAATTGGTAAAGCGCTAGGAACCAACAACTAGATCTATTCGATTACGTACTCTTTTCCGATGAGCGTTCCCTTAATTGCAGAGAATGGTTGCTGCCCGAAATGGCAAGCAGTTCGTCACTCTCCGAATCGAGTGATTCACTAGAATGAGGAATCGGAAGAGGTGCTAACCGTGGACCTGAAAGTGATCCAATTAGCCGGGATGATCAAAGCAATACAAAAATCCCTTCCCAAGGTTATTGAGTGCAAGTGAAAACATTCAAATGCAACGGGTTCGCTGGGCTTCATTTGGCTAGCCATTCAGGCCATAACTTGCTAGATAAGCAGCACATCCAGCGAAAGATGCGGCCTTATACGGCGTCACACCGAAAGGCGTTTTCGAACCCAGCGTACCCACTACCTTGATGTGAAATGGACAAATTGAATAAAAATTTGTAACTGATAGAGGAATATTTCTTCAGTCGGAAATTCACAGATAGCTGCACTTTAAAATGATTAACTCACTGGATGTTGCGATACTCCATTATTCTCATACAACATAGAAAAGATGAAGGAATGCCCCCCCCCCTCAACCAGGTTCATTCGTGGATAAGTTGAGTTTTCAAAATTTAAACAATGAACCGTCTTTGTCATAAAGAAAATGTGGAAAAGTGTCATTGAGACCGTCCTTTTCATTTCAGACGCTTGACAGGTTAAACCAAACACCTCCAAATAAAATTAGTGGGGTTACAGCGGTTGATAATGAAGTTGTGGATGCCGAATTGACTAAAAATGAAAAAAAGACAAAGAAAACCGTTGATGAAGCCTAAAACAGAAATACCCTTTGGAAAAGGAAGGGGCTGGGCCGGACGTAGTTTCAAGAACATGCCCGCTCCACAGATCAGCTAACTTGGGTGTAGTTGAAGTAGCCGCTACGCCGTAATCCATGTTGCATGTAATGGAATATGCGCTAGGTAACTCGTCCAAATGGTAAGATTAGTCGCCAAATGCTGACTTTGTAGGACCCTAGCGCAATTGTTGCGTACCTTCCATTCAGTAGAGATTAGCACAAGCTTACAAGTAATATCACTTGGTAGTAGAGGAATTCGAAAAGAAATAAATCTTGCGCTATGTAGGCAACCCAAAATTGTTTAATAGCGGAAATTTCTGCAAATGGTCAGCTCGACCATGTTTTTAGTGAAACAGTTTTGTAGACAAGAAATTTGTAAGCTTCTTCCATTTTGGATCCAACAAGGCAAGAAACATATCTGAGTCCATATATGC